CATCCATCCACCCATCCATCCACCCATCCATCCACTCATCCATCCATCCCATCTACTAGTGACAGGTCTGGCTCTAAGTCATTTCATGGTGAGATTTTTCTCAAACCCATTTAAGGACAAGTTGGCTAGATAAGATCACTGTGAAGACGGATGTGTGTATGTGTGTCTTAGATTTGCAGTCAAGGGACTAGACTTGGAGTCTAGCCCGTGTCTCATCCTGTGATCTTAGGTAATGTTTTATGTTTTCTGAGGCACAAAAGGAAGGTACTGGGCAGGTTTTCAAGACCTTGATTGACTCTAAAATGACATAATTCTAACCCATGTTGAGTAGCTATTGTATGTACAGAGAAGTGTTGAGGCTCTAAAGTTGAAACTTAAAACTTTCCCTCGAAGTTTGGTCTCTGCATCTGACACTGTAGCCAAGTCCATCGAAAATGATGTGTGTGTGTGTGTGTGTGTGTGTGTGTATGTGTATGTGTGTGTGTGGTAGGTGGGTATGTATATGTGCATATATGTGTGCTGTAGTGTGTATGTATATGCACAGATGCATGTGTGTATGTGTATATGTATGTGTGCATGAATGTGTATATGTGTGTGGTGTGTATGTAGATGTCCTTGTACATGTGCATGCATATATACACGTATGTGTATGTGTGGTGTGTATATATTTATGCCATTTACATGTATGTGTGGTATGTGTATGTGTACATGCACATGTATGTATATGTTTCTGTGTTATATGTGTATGTATGTGTTTCTGTTATATGTGTATACATGTCCTTATACATGTATGTGATGTGGCTCTCCATGTATGTGTAGGTGTGTGGTGTATGTGAGCATGTACCTGTATGCATAAGAATGTGTTTTGTGTGGGTATATGTATATGTGTGTCCTGGTATATGTATGTGTTGTGTGTGTGCATGGACATGTGTATAGATGTATGTGAGTAGCATATATGTATATGTGTGCCCATGTACATGTGGTGTGCATGTATGTCTGTAGTGTATGTATATGTGTGTGCCTATGCACATGTGTGTGCATCTTCTGAGGAAAACCATTCGTGCTGATGGTTATTGATTACCTTGATGCTAACTAAGTTCCTCGTAGGATTTCAGTGTGCCCACTTCACAACTAAGGAAGCTGGACCTAGAGAGTTGTAGGCATCTGCTCACAGTCACAGGGGAGTAGGTGTTAGGCAGGGAATTGCACGTGGGTATGGGACTCTAGTCATGGTGTTGATCTTCCCTTTGTACCTCACGTGGGGTTCATGCAGTTTGGTCCATCCATACCCGAGCTAGATTCCCCTCCATGCTTCTAGGACGCATCACTCAGTGGCCCACAGTTAGTGATTCTGACTAGACGTGAGCTCACTCCCAAATGCACTGCTAATCAAGACAATCAGACATTGAGAGACTCGCAGTTATCACCCGGTCTCTCTGCTGTCTGACTGTAGGAGTCTGTGCCTAAGAGTGGTAACGTATTGAAGTCCCTGGTGAGGTAGTGACACACTCCCAGCTGCCACTGAAGATTTCCTGCACTCACCTTTGCCCTCTGGAAAAGGAAAGGTTTTGACAGAGGGATGTTTTGAGATGTCAAGATTGGGTTCTTCACAATTTTCAGAGGAGAAGCCACCACAGGCATTGGAAACATGGAGGAACCAACACATAATGAGATTAGCTTCATCCCCCCTGGAGCCAGCTACATTGTCTTCATCAAGATGAAGATGAGAGCAAAGGGAGGCCCTTTGCCTTGGGAAGAGCTCCTCTACCATGCCTGGGCAATCTGTACCCTCTCAACACTAAGCATTTTATTCTTTTACCCCTAGGTACAGTTTTCAGAAAAGGGCCCATTTATGTTTAGTGTAATGACAGACTGATTTGGTTTGATGTCCTCATGGCTGGGTTTTCTCTTACCACAGCATCCCTGTGACTGCATCCCTCCCACCACTCGAGTGGCCACTCTCCAATCAGTCGGGCTCCTACGAGCTGCGGATTGAGGTCCAGCCCAAGCCCCATCACCGGGCCCACTACGAGACAGAGGGCAGCCGTGGTGCTGTCAAAGCCCCAACAGGAGGACACCCTGTGGTGCAGGTATGGACTCAAATTCTCTTCCTTCTGTACCCTGTGCTTGTCACCAGGAGACTCACTCTCCTTGCTGCTGTTTGTGGGACTGAAGAGATCTCAGCTTTTTGCTCCTTGGAGAGAGAGAAGTCTGAGATGAGAATCAAGAGCTTAATGCAGAATTGCATTCTGGGTGGGACATCTCCAGGGCAGGGTGAGGAACCATGATGTCCATGGGGAAGACAGTCCTGCTTTTTCTTTGTGATGGAGAGATTGCTAGGATTTGGCAGACTTGTTAGAGCAATGAGCCTTCCTCTCCGCTCGCTTTTTCCAGCATCGTCCTTTAAGTCTGTGGCTTGTGAGTAAACCTAATTTGTAGAAGTCAGTGAAGAAGTTTGATTTTTTTCTCCTCCAAAATAGTTGAATTGAAACATTCTTTAAATTGTATAATCTGGTTAGCTAGGAAGTACAGACAGGAGTCTGTCTAAGCTCTGGCTGTGTGAACCCACACAGCTCAATTAGCCAGAACCTTCTATACATTGTAACTGTTTATTTGTGTCTATCTTACAATGGAGTTATGGAATGGTAGGGACCTGGTCATTGCATTTATAAGCATCTTTGAGGGGGATTGTGAGTTCCAGGCCAGTCAAGGCTACACAGAGAGATGCTGTATTCCCCACCCTCCACCCCTCAAAAAAAAAACAGAAAAGAAAGAAGAAGCTTCCTTAGAAATTACCAAACAGGTGTAGAGACCAGAAGACAAACAACCTCCAAACCCTAAAATTCTCCCCAAGTGCACTGGGTGTGTTCCTCTAGTTCAGGACTCCTGTGACTGTGATCAAAGCACTTACTACCTGGGTATAACAAACCGGAATGAAGCCATTGTTCTGTACAATTAAGATATGCCAAGGAGAAGGGAAAAATGGAAAACCCTGGCACGGCCTGCTCTCCGACCTGGCAGCCCTAGAACCAGGTCCCTTTCCCAGAGCCTGAGCCTCACCTCCTCCTTCTGTGTGTATCTTGTGGTTGTTACTTCCGCACTGATGTGGGGCTGATATACAGGGCAGTGTACGCGGGACTTTGTTGTCTTCCTCTAATGGCAGTCAGCCCAAGTACTGGCTGGCCACCTTGAGCACGTGCCAGCTGATTGTATAGCTGGTTTGTTAGGGGCCATCTGTGGGAAGACTCAGTTGCTTCTCACTGCCTGGAGCACACCCTTGGCAGTCTGATCCTGGTGGATCTTGGTGAGCACTGGTTTTGGGGTCCTAAGTGGGTAGGGGGGTACTGACTGATGACGCCCTGACTCCACAGCCTCACTTCTGGGTGATTAATAGGTCAGCACCACTCCGGTCAGTCCCGTTCTGCTTGCAGCCTCTTAAGTCCCCTGCTGTCCCCATCATGGCTACCTTCTTTGGTTGCTCAGCCCTTGGCCAAGGCTCCTAAGAAACTGCCTCCTTTCTGATGTCACTCCAGGGATTCCAGCTGCAGCAGCCAGAGAGGCTGAAGGCTATCCTATTGGCTCAGGGGCTCCAGGCTATTTGATCTCTAGCCCCAGGCATGGAAGGGGAGGGGGAGACTCCTTCGAAGGGCTCTGTGCATCTTGGTGCATGAGCTGTTTTCAGTCACTGGTGCCTTAATACTTATTTCTTGGATACCTGCTGAGGACCAGGCAAGGTTCTGGGGTCTCAGGATGACAGGAACCCAACAGCCAGATTTTACAGTTAGCACAGTGTTGAGTGTTTTGGAAGAGCTTACCGTACACAAGATCCATTCCATTCTTATCAGGGTGAGGTCTCCAAACTTGTTCAAAGTCATTGCTGTTTAACGACAGGGTAACAATTGCTTTGGGGCCTTCCTTGTCTTCCGTGGACAGCTCCTGACTTCCCTCTCTCTGGTGCCCATGCCTCCCGCCTGTTCTCTCTTTACAACTGTCTGGCTCTGACCCTCTTGCCAGCTCATTGGAGCCCAAGTCCTGCTCCCCATGAGGATTCTGACTGACCAGAGGGTCATGCCACCACTGCACTGAGGCCTGTGACTGGGAAGCCCTGTGAGAAGCTGGGCTCAGCTTGGCCTCAGAAACGAGAGTAGACTTTATAGTGGCATAGATCAGGAGAGAGACAGAGCAAGCTCCAGCTCTCAGTGGGGCCTTTATACCATTCATCTAGAGCTGGACCATGGAAAGTTCCAGAAAGGGAGCAGCTGGATGTTGAGTTCAGAGGAGACTATTGCTTTGCACCAGAAGTTCACATCCGTCTTATGGCCTGTTGTTTCCAAAGACTCTAGGTGGATTATAATTTAAAATCTTATCGAACACACTCTGCTCGCTGTAAAATAAAATATGGGACACTCCAAGTTTTAGCTTGGGAAGCAGATTTTAATGGGGACCTTTGTGGTCGGGGACGTGATTGCTTTGAGAGATTGCTCACCCTCTGGGCACGAGGCTCTGGGCTCCATCCTCAGCAATACTAAATGGGGCGTGGCCGTACACATCTGTAATCTCAGCACACCTGTAGGATCTAGATTCAAGTGTTCTGGAGGAAGCGTGGGGCTCTCTCAGGACTTTGTCCCAGAGGCACGACCCTGGTTGTCCCCTCATCTCAGGCAGCAGGCCTCAGCTTTGGGAGCCAGGAGCAGCTCCCCAGAACCTGTTCAGGTGTATCCTTCAGTCAGGAGACTGAGGAAGCCAGCAGGCTTTCAGACTGCTAGGGGCCTCCGGGATCTGAATTCCAGCCGGTCACTCACTCTAAGGCTGTGCAGAAGGGAGAAAAGCCAGCTGAGGTTCCTTTCCCGGTGAGGTTTTAGGAATAGCACCCCTCAGGCAGTCCCACGTGTGTGGTCTTCTCTGATAAGTTTGTGAGCTCAGGACTTCCGGTTTCCTTTTCAGCTGTGTGACAGGAAGTGGGTCTTGCTGATGGTCATTTGTTGGGGTAGAACCGGTGTGCTGACATCCGTGGAGGCTCCTGGGGTCCTAGGTATAGGATTGGGAGTAAGGTGAACTCAGCTGGGTGGGGGAGGGTCGGGGGATAGGCTCCCCTGGCTCAAACTTCAGAAGAGGAGTCTGGAGGGTGGGGGGGGAAGTGTCCTGTGGTGGTTGGGGACTATTTGTTCATAAGTTCCTTAGTCTCTGTCCCGACAGAGATGACCCAATATCAAACCCAATAAAAAGGTAAGTTAGGGCTGGTAAGATGGTCCGACAGTTGTGTGCAGCCAAGCATGATAAACTGAGTTCCATCTCTTAGACCCACGTGTAGGAAGGAGAGGAGTGACTTCTAAAAGCTGTCCTGTGACCTTCACATGCACCCGTGGCATGTTTTCCTGGTTGGGCTAACTGTAGCTGAGATCCTTGTGTTTGGCTCTTGGGCAACCATGGAAGGTGGTGGCATCCCGTCTGCCTCATGCAGACTCCTTTGTTTCCTGTGTATGTGGGAAGTACTTTGTATGTGACTGGACCCAACCCATTTATCAGAAGGTAAAGATGGGGAGAGGTAGGGTGGAGCAGTGTGTGAATGTGGGGTCCCTGTTAGGAGAAGCTGCCCCCCAAGTCCTGCCCTCTGTCCTCTCCTCTGTACCTGGCCCCTTGTGGCATTAAAGTTTAATAAAAAATTATTGAGCACACAGCCCAAGCTTAGGGCATCTGTTAGCCACCTGTGGCTGTGTGACCTACCTGGGGGCTGGGATGACCTCAGGTGAGATACCAAGGTGGTGTGGTGGGACCGTGTGTGTGTGTGTGTGTGTGTAGACTCAACTCCTCCCCCAGAAAATACCCAGGGGAGGAGGGTTCTGTCTGGAGCCTCTCTCAGAAGCCCAAGTGTCCCCGGTTCCTTCAGGTCTAGGCAGAGTGGAGAGGCTTCCAGCATGTTGGAGAACTTATTGTTTTCCAGAGGGAGAGAGCAGGGGAGTTCTCAGGCTCTTGCAGAGCATGTGTGTCATCCTAAGAGTGACATTCACTCTGAGCTTTCCTCAGTGACCTATTTAGTCTGTGGCAACACCCACATGCACCACTGGGAGCATAGGTGGTAGGATTACTGTGCTCATTTTACAGACTACAAAACTGGGGCACAGCACTGAAGCAATTTGCCTGATGTCACCCAGGCTGTGGTGATGGCTGGACCTGGGCATGAGGGATCAGAAACCTAGGGCTGTGCTGTTAACTGGGAGAAGAAAGGGGGCAGGGTGTGTGGGGTGAGGGGTGCTGGCTCTAGCTGGCTCTGGGGTATTAGGTGTAGCTTGGGGGGGTGCTTCATCTTTTAGACTTATTTTTTTTTCTTGTCAAGAGCTAGCAGGATGTGGGGCTGGATGCAGCTCAGTGTTAGAGGCTTGCCTGGAGGATGGGAGGCCCTTTGGTTCTCAGTACCATAGCGCGCGCGCATACACAGACAAACACAGACACACACAGACACACACAGACACACACAGACACACAGATACACAGACACACAGACACACACAGACACACAGACACACACACACACACA